CCCATAGTCAGCAAATAAATCTTTTACCAGCATGCAAACTTCTGACCTCTAGTTGATATTGCAAAGTCAGCATGCAAACTTCTGACCTCTAGTTGATATTGCAAAGTCAGCATGCAAACTTTTGACCCCTAGTTAATGCTGAGAGTTAACCAGTTGTGACCTCTGACCTACTTAGTACTGAGAGTTAACAGTTTGTGACCTCTGGTCTTATGGTAAATGATTACCGTACTGCTGTTGTATACGTGTTTCAGCACAGCTATGCTATACTGCAACACCTTTCTGTTTTGCTTTCCCCTTGTCATCTTGGCCAATCTTCTCTCGTATCTGCATTCCCTGTTTTTCCCTCCACTATATTGGAATTTTAATTACTCAGGGTTTTTCTTCTTGGGATATCTGTTTCTATGGGGATTTTTAATAAGTTTCTATTCTAATGTTTCCTGTTTTTCCTAAAAAGCTTCTAGGGGTGCCTTTGTTTCTGGATTTAGGATTTTATCCTTTTTTCTGTGGAAAGTTATCACCCAGCCCTCTCCCAGAAAAATGAAATATCCTGGGAAATATTGAAACGGCAGAATATTATATTTCCCTTGATGTGAAAAGGAAGAAACATGTTTAAAGAGAGAATAGCTCCCTGTAGCTTCCTGCCTCCACCCACTTTGTCAATGGGCCATTAAGAAGGCCAAGCGAGATCATTTCACTTAGTATTATTCAATGATGGGGTCTTTTCTCCTTTTCTTCACTGAGACCCCTGACAAAAGTTAAACTTTTCTTACTTAGGATAAGCCATTTTTGGAACTTACTCCTTATCTCTTCCCTATGGCTCCAGTTAATTACAATCATACCAACTTAAAGACAAGAGTGAGGAACAGCCTTAATGGATGTCTAATGCCTAAATTTCTCAATATGAAGGACAAGAAACACGTGTGAACATTCTGTATTCCATTCCGGTTTCTTAAGCTCCTTCTGATCTGGCATCTTGTATGAACCCTAAATGTAGGGTAAATGTAGATAGAAAGTTCATAAAGAGAGTGATAAGGACAGCCAAGGAGATTATAGGAAGCTCATTTCCTGTTATTCAGGACACTGCTTATAAGCGCTATGTGTTTAGGGCTCAAAGTGTTGTTAGAGACTTCACACCTCCACTTTACTGTCTGTTTCTGTTTCTTCCCTCTGGTAGGAGGTTTTGAGGTATTTCTATCAGGACTACCAGATTCTGTTAACAGCTTTCTTCCCCATGCCTTCCGCCTGGTAAACTCGCGAGATTCATTTTTCTCTCCATGTATATGTCCTTCTCATTATTTGAATTTATTATGTTTTCCATCTCAAATGCAGGAACTAGATTCATCTCGACAAACTTCCTAAGAGAAAAAAGATCCACACAGGGGAGAGGCCACTTAAATGCATGGAGTGTGGAAAGAGCTTTATGAAGAATTGTCAACTTATTTACCATAGTAGGATCCATAGAGGGGAGAATCCCTATAAATGCACAGTGTGGAAAATCCTTTACTGGTTGTAATAAATTTATTACCCATAAAAAGACCCACACAGGGGAGAAGCCATATAAATGCATGGAGTGTGGAAAATGCTTTACTGACTGTAGTGGTCTTATTGGCCATAAAAAGAGCCACACAGGGCAAAAGTATAAATGTATGGAATGTGGAAAGAGTTTTTCTACAAAGCCGTATCTTAAAATCCATAAAAGAATCCACACACGGGATAAGCCTTATAAATGTATCGTGTGTGGAAAAGGTTTTATTACGAGCAGTAATCTTAACTCCCATAAATTGACCCACACAGTGTAGAAGCCCTATAAGTCTTTGAAATAAGGGGGGAAAAACTTCAAGACGGTGAATGGCCGAATGTTCCATATATGAATACATTTGGGTGGGAATCTGTTTACATTTTAGATTTAGTTGTTGAAACATGCATTTACTGAATTAGGAAAGGCGTTTCTTTCAGTCTGATCTTTATAACTGTTAGTCCCAGAGACATTTGGTGGTTTAATTATGAACAGTGTCATTTGAAGGTCAGCAATGCCATTTCACATAAATAAAAACATATTCATTTTCCATTGGATCATATGATCCATTTTCGATTGGATCATAAAGAAAGAAACCTTAAATCCCCAATAAAAGTTTATTTTTTGAGAGCAAGCATAGGGTTTATCTAGTAAAATATAATTCGAGGCATTATACAGGAAAGCTATAAATCAGGAAAGACTTGTAGGAGTTAAAGCTAAATATGAATTGCCAAAGTAGATGTGAATAGATCAGTTTAAGTAGCAAATGTTTTTCAGTTAAGCTTTGTATAGTTGTCATTAGAAGTTATATAACAAATTGCTAGGTGTTGAAACATGAAACTTGTTTTTCATTATATTCAAGCTTCCTGCAGTTTGCACTTTTCCCCTGAAGTTATTTTCATTGTTCATTTCCTGTGAAGGTAATAATGGGGAGAAAAATGAAGATTCTGAGAAACTATTCCAAATGATCAGTCGTGAATACAGTTCAGAAAGCCGTGAGAGAAACCAGCCAAATACTTGGAATCAGGAAAGTTCATCTTCTGTTCATGCACCAACGGAAGCCTCTATGGCCTAACAAGGAAAAACAAAGAACGAATGTATTGGAAGAACCTATTCGAGGACAAATTAGATGTAAATGAACACTATCAAATCCAAACCAAAGTAGATTATATATGTAGAAACAATGGAAGAAATTATAAATGGACTTTGTCACTTCTCTATACATGGGTCCCGTACATCTTTTAAAAGGACCCATGGAGGGGAGAAGGTATACAAATGCTTGGAGTGTGGGAAAAGCTTTACTAAGAACAGTCAACTTATAAATCATAAGAGGATCCACACAGGAGAAAAGCCCTATGAATGCATGGAATGTGGAGTCAGTGAACAGAAAACTCTTGCTAACTATAAAAGGATTCACACAGAGCAAAGACCTTATAAATGCATTAAGTGTGGAAAGAGCTTCATTTATATTAGTTCTCTTACTTCCCTTTACTGGTTCCATATACAAAATAAATCCTCTTCTTTCAAGTAACGCAAGCAGCGTCTTTTCTTTTTGCTTCTTGAAATCTGGAGCAGATTTCCAACATCAGGAAGGATTTGCCAAAATTATACCCAAGTATGTATTGCCTACATTGGTTTTACGCTAAGGACTTTATCTTATGTAGAGTGTAGCTTAATAATCAAACATTTTTTGCATTTAACCTTTCTATATGCATTTTTTGAACTGAAGGGGGAACTTTTTCCATTTTGCGCACTTTTTTTAACTTTAAGAAAGTATTTCTGTATTGTGTAGCTATGTTAGGTTAATTTGCATACTGCAACCTTTAATAAAATTATTGGAAAAAATTTGTGTGAGAGAGACCCTTTTTTTTTTTTAAATATATTTTATTCATTTTCACATTCCATTTGCAATCACTTATATACAGGGTATTTGCTATAAGAAAAGAAAAAAAAAGAAATAAAACGAACAAAATAAAAAGGAAACACAACTCATCATTCACAACCCCACCTAACGCTTCCATCCTCCATACACCCCCTCTCCCCCCTCCAACTTTCCTTTCTTCCTCTAACACTCCCCTCCTACTTCCCTTTC